TTCAGCCGTCTTCTGCGTTCGAACTCTAACCGGGACGACGTCTTCCCAGAGTCTTGGCGAACATTCGAAACCAGTTCACCAACCAACGGATGTCTATCTTAGCGACGTTAAAGTTGAGCTGGCCCCGGTGTGTGTTGACGGAGATAGCACCTCTCTGTATCTGTCGTCGGTAGCGCGTGATTGTTGCCGTGGAGATCCCATACACGGCGCACCATGAATCCCGACACACACGCCCTATTAGCGGTAAATAAAACGAGAAGACATGCCGCTCACCACTCCCACGACGACGTACTGCGGTGTCTGTCTTCATCAACATCGCCAGCGAGGTCAGGATGCTCTGCTTCTTTTCATGCGTAGTCATTTGCCCCAAAGAGCACAGGAAGTTTTCAAGATCAGCTGCCTTGCCTTGAAGGCACTTCTCCGTGCAATGATCTTGCTGAATCAAACTCGTAACTTGCTCCCGAAGTTGGTCATCAGACCAAAAGATCCTACCCTCCACTGAGAAGTCCTCAACAGACTCTACGTCTGAATGATCCTGTAAGGCGTCCTCCACGGCATCTTCAACGTCTTCACCACTCGAAACGCCATTTGATTCGCCTGATATTGGCTCCCACACACTGTCATCTGATCCTTCACCGCCGGTTGCGTCCGAATCAGGTAGAAGAGAGCCCAGTAGATTCCTGTCATAATGCCGAAGCGCAGTGTTTGTCCTGGTACTGGCGTCGCTGGCCACAACCGAAGTGCTGGAAGAGTTTGTGCTGGTGTTCATCGTGCTCGTTCTAAAAGATACACCACCAAAAAATGGGTCCGTTTGGAAAAACGCCTCTACTGAAAAATTCGTTTAATTACGTTTTTGAGTGGTCAATCTTTAAAGCCGTTTATCTCGATAACTTTAAATGGTTCGTAAGGATCAGTTCGTTTCGAGCCGTCTCAAATGCAGAGCGTCTGCTTGGTGTCAATAAAACGAGGAATCAAAGTGACAAGATCTTCTCAAGCGACCCCCAACCGTCGTGATCAGTTCGGCGGCGACTCACATGCTTGTACCACTAGTATTTGAGTATCTTCCTCCTAGTCTCTCTATCTCGCCTTTCGATCGCTAAGATGCCTTCATACGCCGGTGAAGACCCCCACCGCTAATCGCGGGGGAATTGTCCATGGATGACGGTAAAAACCGTCACATGTTGCTGGCCAACGACGACGTTTTCGCCGAGGGGCAACAGGACCGACAAGACGAGCTCGACGCATTGGTTGACAGTCTTGCTCAGCCATCGGGTCTGGGAGATCTGCAGAGCTTCTTGGTCAGTGACGCCGCGCAGAAGGACAAGATCGATCAGCTGGTTAACTTCCTGGCTGACGGTCCCGCACCGGAGACTCACAACGATCTCGTGGCGGAGACGGACATATTTCCGACGAGCAAGAGCAGAAGCAGAAAGAGCTGGATGCGCTGGTGGACTCACTGTCCGGAATCTCCATGGCTCCTTCTCCAGCAACCGCTACGGCCACGGCTTTGCTGGCATCGGACGTTAACGACGTGGGCGTTGCCAATACGCAGGCTTCGTTCCTCAACGTGATAGAAGGTGCGGTCCTGCTACTGGTTGCTGTGGTGCTGATCGCCATGACCAGACGTTCGCAGTCGAAGCGAGAGGAAGAGGCGGATGAGCGCATGGATTTTGGCTACATCATCTTGTATGAGTGAAGCTTCACAACATCATACCTCTAACGCAGTCAATATCTTGTCTTTTGCATTCGATGTGGGGCTTTAATGGTTCTCTGGTGTAAATATGTAGTAACATTACATGTAGCTCGAAGTTGCCAGAGGTTGAAAGTATTCCCGAATAGTATAAATACGGACAGCCCTATAGGGATTAATTCACGAGTGTGTGGACCGGTAGGAGGATGACGGAAGACCTCCTATTCATCCGCCTAAAATTTAGCCTAACCCTTTGATAAAAAAAGACGATGTCAATCAAAGAGATATTTGACCGGACCACGCGTGTTCTCTCAGGGAGGACCTAAACCATAGCAATAACATACAACAAATTCACAAGGTAAGATGTAGCAGTCACAAATATGATATTGTACAATACCTTTCATCCTTTGAAGTTACATCGAAAAACATGATTTGATCTGGCCCGCTGTAGAAAGGCAATAGCCTGTTCATATGCTCTTGCCTCGCCAGCGTATGTCTGATGAGTAGTCATACTTGATTTAAAATCAATCTGTTGTGGATACCTTACGTAAGGGTAAATGGCCGGCAAATATTGCCCATTCAGCCCTTAATTTGTTAAAAGGTACCCTATAGACCAAATCGGAGCCCTTACGTAGGGCCTCCACAATTGGATCATAGTCGGCAAAATCAAAAAGTGTTATTGGTCAAATATCATTTTATTTAGTGGCCTGGCTTAGCAATTTAACTCCAGTTCGTCCTCAAATCCCACTTTAGCCCTACCCACCCTTGCTTAGGACCAGCCTTTAAAGGTCAGATTGGCCAAAACTTTGGAAAGGCACAATATTATAAATTTTATAAATAAGTACAAGCGTCTTATAAATCCTATTTTTTATTTTCTCTGGCAAGCCATTTGTTTTAGTAGAAATATTAGTTTTTCACAGTTAAAATGAGTAGTTGCTGAGGATTTCTCCGTGCTAAACGAGCTTAAGTAGTCGCTCAGCCTATCGTTGGATGGATGGGACCCGCTCGCTGACCATCAGCTCCACCTCGTCGATAAAAATCACTTTCCAATTGGGCTTCTAGTGCTCAAGGCTTCTCTTGTTTCCTATGGCCCCCTGCTTACTAACGTCGGCTATGCTACTCGCTGTCGTGCTGCAGGGCAGCTCGAAATGCGTTTTGTTTCTACCAAGCTTACTGTGCTGCCGATTCTGACTGGACTCGCTACTACTACGTCTAATTAGGGACCATTGAAGCGCACCAGTAATCTGCGTTGAGAGGGTATCCACTCAGCTCAATATATTTCTGGCTCGGCTTTGTATTTCCTATTGCGATGAAGCATTGTGGTGCCTGGAAGTTGTGCACCTTGTTTGACTCCCACTAATGCAATCCCATTCCGAAAGCCCGTTCAATAGTGCTACCTGAGTAAGGCTTGCCAGGCATGTATCTGACGTGATGCAATCAATGCATGCTTGGTAAGTCTTACTCTGGTAGCCGCCTGAAGTTGAGATCTCGTCGATTTTCCCAGACAACTACAACCACTGCAGGTTATGATGCTCTTTGTTTTTCTTCTTGTCCAGCTTTCTGCTCAGTCTGGAATTCAAAGTAACTGTTTAAAGCAGGGTCGATCAGCCTTCGTCAAATTGAACAGCTTGAGTTTACTAGGTGTCACGGAACTAAACCGTTCCGTGAAAGCTTAAGCAGTTGCGAAACTACCCGGTAAGAGATATAGAAACGACTTCGCAAAAAGACAGAAACCACTACAGCGACTCTTGGTAGCAAGCGACCCTCGAGGGTCGACGGAAGACAAACTAAAACAAAATACACTTTGAGTTATTCCATCTACTACGCAAGTCCTCGCCAACAACGTCTACAAGCTTATTCTGGCCAGGCCGGAGTCCCCTCAAAGCCCCCCGCCCGATTTCAACTCTACGCTTCCACCTACCGCTTTGTGGTGTCCCGAGACGTAGGTCTCATTCGGGACGGGAATCCACCATATTTGCAACATAGTAGACCTTGAAGTAGAAGGCAACAAAATGAGCGACGTCGGTAGTGAATTCGACGTAGCGGGAGACACTCGCCCACTTGACGCCGAAGAGATAGATCGACTTCGGCTGGTCTTGTCAAATCTAGAAACGCTAGAACAAACACTACACACGCTGACACGAGACCCAACAAGTCTGACCGAAGCTGTTGCGGTATTCGCTACGCGAACCGAACAACGACAGAGCCAGAACATGGAACAGATTAAGTTTGCCTTAACTCTGGATCTGATTAATCACCTCTTCATGAGGTGATTAATCAGATCCAGAGTTTTGCAACTAGAAGTGATGAAGGAATGACCAAGCAAAAAACCGACTTGGCCTCGCTAGGAAGAGAAATGGATGCACTACGACAAGGCATTCAAATGCAAAAACCCACCTCGCAGAACGTCGACCAATCCGTTAGCAACCACGGGTACAGGAACGAAGAAGAACTATATGTAGAGTGGGATGTTGTGGGATCAAGTCCGCCCAACGCACCCAGTGTCACCAATCTGGAGCTAGAAAGTCGAGTATCAATGTGCTTGAAGCAAAAGGAAACACCGGTGTATGGTGGTACTGAAGACGACGACATCGACGTGTACGTGCTCGACATGATATCGTGGTACGCAGCATACGATCTTTACTTGAGTCAAGATCAAGTCGATTGGCGTGTTGGTGAGCTAATGTTAAACCATACAAAAGGAGCCGCAAAGAAGTGGCTCCTGCAAGACTATAAGGGCGAACGACGCTGGAGTCATATTGTGAAAAAAATGAAGCAGCGATTTGTGACCCGATTCCGAGAAGAAGACCTTGTTGTGAGCTTCTTCGATTGCAACCAAGGAAGTAATTTTTGGATACATATATCGACGAATTTCAGCGTCGGAGTCGCAGCAATGATGTATCCGAAAAGTACAAGATGATTAAATTCAAGAAGGACCTGCGCTCAAACCAGTTAAGGGAACTAGTTAAGACCCAGATACACGAGTCATTGGACGTACTGTTCGATGCGGCCCGATCATTTAACCCTCGCGATGTACCAGCTGAAAAACCGACTGGAAGCCAGAACCCTTATCCGGGTTCAAACAAAAAAGCTGGTGCTTTCAAAAACAAGGGGCCCAACTCCAATTACATAAGTAGGTAGATATTTCCTTATTTATTACATAAGTAGGTAAAGTGGCACACGGGTAGCGTGTGCCAAGGTGTCATCATCTGATTGGTTGATAGTGAGGAGCCAGACTCACTTATTGACCAATCAGATATAGACATGTGTTTGAGTGGTTCACACGAGGCCAGGGGTAGCCGCCCTGGTCCTAAATAAAACAGAGTTGAATTTGACACAAACCTAAGACTTGGTTTTATTATTGCGAGCTTCCTCCGCATTACAGTGTAAGCTAGTAACGGTATCTCTTACCCCGTTACACCTGGTAGCACTTAGTAGTCCTTCCAACGACCAAGTCTACGATGAGCCAAGTCCAGATCTCCGGGGCGACCCTGGAGCATGCTGCATTCCCCCCATCTCACTCGCGTGGAGTGGGAAGCGCTTCACCGCCTCGTGGCGGTGTCCGGAGACGCTGTCGTCGCATCGCTGCTGAGTTCAGCGACGCCCGACCAGCAACGTCTTGCAGCACAAGAGTTCATGGAACGCGAGCTCGCCGATGCGAATCGGCGGGTGTCAACTCCCTCGCGTCCATCCCAGAATGACGTCGTCAAGATGGAGACGTCTACGTATTCTGGCGCCGGTGAAAACCGGCTTCCGCTAAACCGGTGGTTCCGCGAGATCGACATCGCTATCGCCTCGCGACGCATCGAGGCGTCATCGGCCAAGATGAACTTCCTCCTCTCCCGGTTAACCGGGAAGGCCAAAGAATGGGCCCTCGGGAAGCTGGTTGTCGACCCCGAGGCTTTCCCGACTCTGGAAACTCTCCAGAGCGACTTGCGCCTCGCGTTCGAGCCCCCGCAAGATGAGTCTCGCGTTCGCGCAGAGCTCTTCGCTCTGCGGCAAGGGCAGATGTCCATGCGTGATTACGTCCAGAAGACGCGACATCTGGCGTCATGCATCATGACCAAGCCAATCAACATGGCCTCGCAAGTCCACGTATTTGTGTTCGGCATGCGCGAGGGTATGACCCGCTACTGCCTCACCAGAGCTGAGCCCTCCTCTCTCGAGGAGACGTTTGCACTCGCGATTCGCGAGGATTACATGGTAGCTGCATCGTACGCCGCAGCCATACCTGCGGAAGCCCGGGAGTCTACCCCCGAGCCCATGGAGATCGACGCCATCAACGCGTCGAGCAATCGACGTCGCGGGTCCTACCGCGGCAGCTCTGGGCGAAGCAATCGCTCCCTCATTTGCTTCCGCTGTGTGAAGAAGGGTCATCGCGCGGCGAGTGCCGCGCGCCAGCTCCCGTCGTCTCTCACGTCGACGCGGAACACTCCTCGGTCGCTCATTCAAAAAAACGACCAGGACCAGTAGGTGCGGGGCGCCCTACTGGCTTTGACGAAAGACCCGGGCCCTCCGGTGGCAGCCCAACCTTCGAGCCCTCCCGTGCTCCAAGCACACACCAATGCCACCACTACGCCGGGCGACTCGAGACTGATCATTGTCAGCCTCCACGTCACCGGTGCCCGGCGACCACTGCGCGCGCTCCTTGACTCAGGAGCGACCAACAACTTCTTTCGCGCGTCGTGTTTGTCGGTACTACCCAAGAACGTCCGCGTCCGGAATGGTCCGGGCGAGATCCAAGTCAAACTCGCAGATGGTAAGGCTCGCCGCGTTGCGCGGCGTGACGTGTCTTTGTCGTACACGTTCGACGGCTTCCGTAGCAAGGACGACTTCTTGGTGATCGAAATGAACTACGCGTTTGACTGCATCCTGGGCATCCCTTGGCTTGCGCGATATCAGCCAGAGATTGACTGGCTGGCCCAATCAGTCAAGCGTCGACGTGGATTCGACGTGAGCGAGGTCTTCACACACCTCTTGGTGGCGCCAAGAGACTGGCCCCACGTCACAGTCGTCGACAAAACGGCAACGACACATGCAGTGCACAGAGCGAGCGATGGCCCTCTCTGCATGGCTTGTGCTACGTTGTTGGACGAAGAGCCCTCGCGGTTCCGCGAGGTAGATGAGGAGGTGGTTGAGCAGCGGCTCCCACAGTACAAGACGGTGGTCGAGCAGGGGCTCCCACAACACGAGATGATGGTCGAGCAGGGGCTCCCACAACACGAGATGATGGTCGAGCAGGGGCTCCCACCACACGAGACAGTGGTCGAGCAGGGGCTCCCACACAACGAGACGGCGGTAGAGCAGAGGTTCCCGCCGAACGATTCGGCGGTCGAGCAGATTGGGCTCCCGTCATACGATGCCGCGGTTGAGCAGGGGCTCCCGCGTGTTCCCGGCCCGGTCGAGTACGGTCTCCCGCGCCTAGAGGAGGGTGATGCATCGTCGAGTAGCAGTGCGTCAGACTCGAGCGTAAGCTCGAGGAAGTCGAAGAAGAAGTCGAAGCGACGACGCCTGAAACCTCGTCGAGACTACACGACCAGCGATAGCCCGCCGATGGAATCGGTCAGCGCGCTGGAGTACGTGGAAGGAGGCCCGAATCGGTCGCGCAGCATCGCAATCGCGAGCCCGCCGCGCGAAGCGGCGGCGATCACCCGCCTTCCAGCTTGTCCTTGGAAGGACTTTTCTTCGGGAACTCAGGCTGGAGACGTCGAGCAAGTATGCTTGGTCGCCGAGGCAGTCTCGGTGGATGAGGCAGCAAATGCGGTCGCAACGGACAGTGAACGTTCACGTCCGCTAGGTGCAGAACCTAAGTCTGCTCGAGAGGACGATTCCAAACGCAGTCTTGGGAGGCCTTGCGGGAGTCAGCGAATCCCGTATACGACACCGCCTGCGAGTACGCCGACGTCTTCCCGGATGAGATCCCCGCCGAGCTACCGGCGGATCGTGGGGTTCAGCATGAGATCGACCTCGCGCCAGGTACGAAGTACTGCGTTACCAGACAATGGCCACTTCCGCGTGATCAAGTGAAAGCAATCGATGACTTATTCGAGGGCCGCCGAAAGGCGGGTCACGTGCGTGAGAGTACCTCTCCCCATTCCAGTCCAACGTTCTGTGTGAAGAAAGCTACAGGGGGATGGCGTATCGTTCACGCATTCAACAAGTTGAATGATGCCACCATCCCCGCGCAGACTCCTAACCCTCGGAAGTGGACTCCATGGCTGGCAGCGTCATCTACAGCGCCATCGACCTGACCGATGGATTCTATCAGATCCTGATGAGAACATCTGATGTGCCTCTCACCGCCGTAAGTACACCGAGCGGGATGCTCTGGGAGTGGCTCGTGATGCCACAGGGCCTCAAGAACGCGCCTGCCACCTTCAATCGCATGGTCTCCCATGTGCTTCGCCTACTTCGAGACTTCGCGCCGAGTTACTTCGACGACATCTTCGTGCACAGCCGCGCTGAGGGCAACCTCAGTGCCGTGGACGTACATCTAAAACACCTGAGACAAGTCTTCCAGGTGATGCGAGAGAACAAGCTCTACGCAAACCTGAAGAAATGTGTCTTCTGCGCACCGGAGATTCCGGTGTTGGGATGCTACGTGAGCAAGAACGGTGTGCGCGCGGATCCCGAGAAGGTATCGTCTATCTGTGCTTGGCCAACGCCGACAAGCCCCACTGAGTTGCGTCAGTGGCTTGGCATGGCCAATTACTTGCACAAGTACACAAAGAATTACGCTGGGTTGATCCAGCCGCTGTCCTCGCTGCTGAAGAAGGACGTGATCTGGGAGTGGAAATCGGACCACCAAGCTGCATTCGACTCGGGACAACGAAGGGGCGTCTGCGCCGATACTGAAGCTTGC